CTGTCAAGATTTATGAAGCATACACTTTTCCTGAATGAGTATCAATTGAAATCACAACTACCATTCTGAGATAATTTTTGATGGGAAACAACATGAACAACTACAATAAATATATATATCTATACATATATATATATATTTTTTTTTTTACTGAAAAACTTGGTGGAAGAAGCCACTACCTAGTATAACAACTGAACATTATTCTACATTTGCATCTTGACCTTAATTCTAATAGGTAATTTATAATATATAATTTCCAAGATAATATAGAACAGTGAAGATCATTGTTTCTATATTATCACAGATATAGACATTGTTTCTAAAAACTCATTTCTAGATAAAAATGACTACTTTTATCTATTAATTATAAATCAATTAAATATTTGTACTAAATTTACAGATTTGGTTTACATTAAATAGTAGCTTATCCATCATAAACATTAATAACATTTAAGGAAGGAGAAAAAATATGATTAAAAATTTTTCAACGTTTTGAACAGTAACTTTAAATTGAAGAATGTAACATAAAAGCTATTTAAAAAAAAAAAACTATATTAATGTATATATTAAAGAGAACTGATTAATGCCATATTGGAAAAATTCTTTTAAAGCAATACTAACTTTATAAGCAAGTTAAAATTGATGCTTCAAAAAATATGAAGTCGAAGAACTTATGTTTGTTTTTTATGATCTACAAAGTATTTTCTAGCAAAACTTTTTTCATGATAATTTTCAATCGAATTCGCAACTACTATTCTGCAATAATTTTGATTACAAATATTGTGTTACTTCCTTTCATTTCAATGTTGTAGAAGTCACACTTATTAAATTTTTTAGTTTATTTATTTTTCAACGGTGCTTAGCAGCCGCTAAGAGTAATAAATAAATAAATTTCATTGGCTGATTTTAATATCTTTTCAATAGTTATCAAGGCCGTCGGGCTACCGAAGCGGGGGTGCCATTCCCTCCGCAGAGGATCAAAATTGTGATGGCATGTCTTCGAATCATCCACCGGGATGTTTCCCAGACCGTCGCTAGTAGCTCACTGTGCAGCTCTAGTGCGACGTAAATTAACAACAACAATATAGATTACACAGGCCTGCAATGAAAAAAATGCAAGGGAACTGATAGCTGAATTTTATGTTTCTTTTGGTGCTAAAATTAAAAAAAATAATGAAAATTTTTTATCACGTCACGTTTTCTTGAAAAATTCAATTCTGTTGGAGTTTTTATGAACATTTATCATAATTTGTTTTTCATTTCGGAATTTCTTGCTTGAACAGCATTCTACTTAGGTTAAATCTACAAAAGTACCCCTCCATGACATCTTCCTGTAACCATCCCTCTCCCTGTCACAATCTCTCTCTACCAAATTCGCGAAAATTCTTATCTTGGTTCACTCTTTGGAACACTAGCAAGCGCAATCGGGAATCATTTTTTCGGAAGCATTTATAACGTCTGCTTTTCTCTGTGCGTTTGGTGAAACATGACTTCGAGTACGAGTGTGAAAATTCCCCAGATGACTTTTGTTACATATGCGGTGAATATAGTGTTGTTAAAAATCGCACAAGGAACATTACAGACTATGTAAGATAACTTTATTTTGCTTATTTTAGCATAGAACTCGGAGACCAGAACAAATAGTGGGTTCCTTATAAAGTTTCTATACACTATTTTAATGATCTACGCTTATGGCTCCGAGGAAAGAAGATTGCTTTACGATTTGGAATTTCTGTGACATGGAGGGTGCCTAAAAACCACTTTGATGATTGTTATTTTTGTTTCTGCCATGTTCGTGGATATAACCGGAAAATTCAAAGGCTAATATCTTATCCTGACAACATTCCATCGGCCATACCTCACGGTTCCTCATGGACCTGATGTGCCTTTGCATCCAACTGAATTGCCAGTCATCAGAGTCTTCAGGCTTGGAACATCCAGAAGTTCAAGGTTACCGATACCGTATCTAAGCCATCTGTAGCTGGTTCACCTCAGTCGGCTAAACCATTCGGAGCGGATAGGCAGCAAAGACTGGTGCGGTGCGTGAAGGGCAGGCAGGGTTTTCCTGAGTGGGCGTGGGTCAAGAGTGCGATCCAGACATAAGAGACGGGAAATAATAATTGAGCGTCGATGTGGTTGTTGCCGCCCGAGAGCTCAAGATGCTTGTACGAGAGAGAGAGAGACCTCCCGTCGCGTGTGTCAGTGAGTATGAGTACACCCTGAACGCAGGTGCAAAAGGTGGTCAGCACACGTGGACAGCAGGCTAGGGGTCAGAGTGCAGCTATCGTCCTGGTTCCTCTGCCTACCAGGGGATCGATGACTCCGACGCAGAGGCCAGTGAGCGCCTTTTAAACGCAGGTGAAAATGGGTCCCAAGGCTGCATTGGAACATCCTTCCCAGCTTGCAGGAGTGTGATACTAACTCGGTCTGAAGCGCACCTTCGGAGGGGCGTTGATCAACGTCCCGGTGTCAAGAGCGTCCCTAGGCTTCTGGGTGTCCCCAGGCGTCATTGGGGCGGTCAGGCGTCGGCGCAGTTCCAAAAGAGAAGGTCCTCCTTTCGCGTATGCCTTAAACGAATGGCGAGCGTCAGCAGAGGTAGTACCCGACCGAGCAGCTCGGCGAGCAGCCCAACCTGGAGAGCTCTCCGACCCGTATGGTGCGGCGGGACCGGCAAGTATGCTCGTAAAAGCCGGCATTGATTCGACCTAGAACGCGTCGGAGGTTGCGTGTGGAGCAACGTGTGTAGATTCGAAGCGGGTGCTAGGCATCCCTACAAATGAGCAGGGATTCTTGTTTGACGGCGTTAGGCTTCTCAGTCATGCGGTCGGTCCCTCTCGGATTTTGTACTGTACAGAGGTTCTCCTTTCTCATGTGCTTCTTTTTAGGGATCTGTGGGTTTTGAATTCATCTTCATGGACGATAACGCATTACCTGATCTGCAGTGATTGTCACTGAACTGTTGGAGAGTGAAGATATTGCAAGCATGGAATGGCTGGAGAGGTCCTCAGATTTTAATCCGATAGAACACGCGTTGGACACTATATGGAGGCATTTCTCAGCACGTCTGCAGCCACTAGCAGCAATTCCACAGTTGTGATTAGCAACACCAAGAATGGGCAAGAATTCCTCAAGAGCTTCTTAACAACCTGATCTTCAGCACAGGCAGGCGTTGTCAATCCTGCATAGCAATCAGAGATGATCATATCCCATAATAAAGACTGGAATTTCCTAGCCAATTCCGTCATGTTTTGGTTCCTTATTGTTCCTGTGGATTACATTTTTTACAAGTTGTTTTCTTTCATTTTGAGGATCTTATGGTATAATTTTTACCGATTTTCAACACTGCTGTTCAAATTTACAATCGAAAAACTACTTCGTCCTGAATTTTTGAACCAAAGTGTATTAAATGATTTCTTTCAAATGTTAATTAGCAATTACCATTTATCTTTATTAGTTATTAAAATTATATTTAATGCTTAATTGGTCAGATAATACAGCAGAAACAGTATCACGAGCTCTCCTCAACCATTGGTTCTCCAGATTTGGTGTAGCTTCCATCATTACAGCAGATCAAGGCCGTCAATACAAGAGCAACCTGTTTCATCAACTGTCTCGAATGATTGGAACAACTAGTGTGCGCACCACACCATTCAATTCTTTCAGTAACGGACTTGATTTTTTACAAAAACTGAGAACGTACAAGTCAGACTTGCGACCGATTTCAACTTCTTCTCAAACTTCTTCTTCTAAATCTAATTTTATCGATCGATTATTATCTAAGTATTAAATTATTTCTTTTAAATGTTAATTAGTGTTATTCCTCAGTGGACTGATCGTAAGGACACGGTTCTCAGAGCACCGAAGTCAAGTATCACTGGCTGTGGTCAATGAGCGGGTGGGTGAGCACTTGGATCAGTCTACGACTTGACAGAAGGTGCGTGGTATTGGTCCTCGTTAAACTGTTTTATCGTTAAGTGCTCGACTTCGCGCAGGTCATCGGGCTACCAAAGAGCAGGGGAGCCATCCCCTCTGCAGAGGATCAAAATTGCGGTAGCATGTCTTCGGATCATCCTCAGAGATGTTTCTCGGACCATCGCCAATAGCGCATTGTGCAGCTCTAGTATGACGTAATAGATGACGAATACTTGCATCAATGGTTAATAATATTGAAAGGAAAAATAAGAAATGAATTATTCTTAAAGAACCATTTTACTTTTATAAATTGCGATGGAAAGAAAAGAAGAATCGTATGGATCGGGTGCGTATTCATTGAAAACGCATTTTTTTTCACAAAAATTAAAGGAACAGATCACCTTCGGAGAGCGTGTTAAAGTCGAATGGAAGGACAGGCATTTTGCAGTCATGAACCCTATAAATTATTCAAAGATGTTAAAGAAAGCTCAAGTAGCCAAATCTAGTAAACATGAATTGGTGATCAAAATGGGCTACAGGTGGCGAAGAGAAGAACTCTCTACCTATGACAACACTTCGCATGCTTTCACCCCTAGCGTGTGGGGAGTCATGGAAGAAGGAAGTACGTTAGTTTTCGTCTTGATTTTCAAATAGATTGAAATCCTTTAAGTTGGGAAACTACATGGAACTGAAAACTGCATAGAGAGTTCTGCTTTACGCCACCTGCAGCCCATTTCGATCGCCAATAGTGATTAATTGATAACTATTGCTGTTGTTGTTAATTTACGTCGCACTAGAGCTGCACAATGGGCTATTGGCGACGGTCTGGGAAACATCCCGGAGGATGATCCGAAGAGACTTTTTAAAAGGAAAGCATATGTGATTCATAAAACCCTAAAATTTTATACAATTTCTATAACACGCGTTGAAAATTTTCGCTTTGAAACCAATAAGGGATTTCATTTTTTATAACAATATATTAAACAGATTCAAGAAGTTTTATAAAATTTAAACTTCATGACTTGCATTATAATTACCTTTTTGACTAGTGATACTTTATTAAAGACTTTTTTATGATTATTTATTTAATTTTAAGTTTGAAGCTTTCATTGCAAGTGATATATGAGCCAGTTATAAAAGTTTGAAATCAATATAACAATTCAGATACTTACTGAAATTGTCTGAAAAATTAAATTAAAAAATAATAATAAGTAATAACTTTATAAATTAAATCAGCTCCAAATGTTATTCTTTTTTAATTATTATTTTTTATCTCATACGTCATATGGTAACCATATTATATATCGACAGAGATA